CATATGACAATAATATTAATCAAAATTACGCACATGAAATACTTAGAACTTTTCGAGTCTCATCCACTCATTCTAAATCATTGCCGAAATAAATTTCAGGAATTAAAATAGACATCCTCCCTAGTGGAGTCGCCAAAAACTGTAGGGAATATTTCAAGCATTACCCATAGCTTAAACCCCACTGTGATCATACACTAAAGTACGGTGGCGTCCAAAGGGAAAGAAGATAGAGCAAAAGAGTCGTCAACAAGTTTTAGGAACCTGTATAACGTTCCCAAGGTGAAGGTTACACCTCCTAGCGATCCAAGAGATCGTCAACTCCAATGGGTCTGGAACCATGACTGGTAGTTCGAGGATGAAGGTACAAATCAACCCTAAAAGAGATTAAACCTGCCCTAATAATAGGCCTCTACTTTATTCTGATTGTATTCATGTGCGCTTCCTAACTAACATGCAATCAATGGGATTAACCCTAAACCTGTTTAACTATGTTGTTTAAATATTAATGCACAAATAAATCTATTATTGGCGATCACTTGAATTATAATAAAATTAACCCTAAACAAGATTATTAATTATCTTATTAATCGTGATTACAAATACAAATTCCCTCTAAGCATGCATAAAAGTGTGATCAAGCAATAACAATAATAATCATCAAGCAACATAATAATAATCAAATTATATATAAGTTATCCGTCAATTAACAAATAACATTAAATAATTCGTAAATTAACAAATTACTTAAAACAATTCGTAAATTAACAAATTGTGTAAAACAATTCGTAAATTAACAAATTACGTGAAACAATTCGCTAATTAAAAAATTACATTAAATAATATAATTCAACACAACAATAATCATAATCATAATTATAATAATCTTGTTAAAGCATAATATTAATAGCAAGATCCTAAGCATGATACTAACAAGATTAATAACAAACCCTAGCATGTCACTAAACAATAAAGATCAAAGCTTTAACCCTAACATTATACTAACATGATATTAGGAAAGACAATAAAAGGCATCATAGAAAAAATATTTGACATTATATTCTTTACCCTAAACATGATACTAGGATGATAAAAACACCCTAACATGACACTAGGAATCATAATATCAACCTAGATATGATTTCTATATCATAATATTAATAAATCAATTAAAGCACTTACTTGGATGCCTCGTACCTCTTTCTAATTACAAAATACACACGTTAGTAACTTCAAGGAAAATAATAAAACAAACAATTAAATTAAAGAATTGAAAGAGAGATTTGGGACCAAAGCCTCTGAAATATCAAACTTTTCACGTATAGGGCGAAGGCAACTTCTAATTATGATAGGTGTGTCTAGTGCTAATGTATGAGGAATTGTGTTTGTAAAAGGCTAGGCTAGAAAGAGAGATAGAATCAAGAAATTCTTAATGAGAGTTGGTGATTGAAAAAGGGGAGATATGACCTCTATTTATAAAGAAAAAAGAGAGTCGAAGAATAAGAAAAAAATCCGAATTCAAATCAAAATAAAACTCGATGGACAGCAGTTTTTGCGGATTTTGTTTTTATCATATCTTTTGATCTAGAATTCTAAATAAGTCATATAATATATATTTGGAAATGTATTGAATTCTACTTTTCAACCCAATTAGAATCAGATTAATATATTTTGTAGATAAAAAGATATGTCTGAAATAGTAGGACGGTGTCAGTTTTGGTTATAGTTTTGTATCTCATTCATATTTTTTTCGTTATAGCTCAGAATTAACATTATAATATATCATTGGAAAGATAATTTCAAGATCTATCCAACCATATTAAATTTGGATAAAGATTATGAGGCACAAAAATTAAATCAAACTGTCTTTGAACATCTTTAAATTCGAATAGAATTAGGATTTAAGAAAAGGAAAGTTTTAAATTAAAAAGGAAAGTTTTTATTTAACTCAAATTCTTTAATATTATCTTTTCAAAAAGGATAATTAAGATCTTTTAGAAACTTATGGAAGGTTCTAATTAATCCTAATTAGTTTAGGAATATGATTAAACCTTTGGACCCTCCACATGATCATTGGGTCGTAGGTAAAATCCGGTTTGGGCCCAGTTTAGTATTTTGGCCATAACTTCCTCATTATTCATCAGAATTAGGCTTATAATATATCGTTGGAAAGGTCTTTTCAAACCTTATCCAACTACACCATTATTAGACCCATATCATGGACCAAACTAAACTGTAATGCACGTTTTTCAAAAATAGGGTAAGAAAAGAAATATTTTCCAAAACAGACAGAAGAGATATTTTAATAAAAACATCCTCATCACTAGAATTTTCACACTTTTGCTTTGTTCGATAATCAAATGACGTGAAAGGTATTCATCACTGTGTTTGGTTTTGGGGAGACACAAGTGGGTGTCTACAAAGATATTATGCGTTCAAGTCTCGCTCTCTAATTAGAGATTATCCAAGTTAATTCCTGTTACAACCCATAGGCAACCTACTGTTGGAAACCTTGGACGATAACTAAGAACTAATCTTGTAATAACCTCTAAGTCCCTAGTTGAGTCGCCACTGTAAGGAGGGTGTTCGCATCGTAGGGGATCCTTCTCCTTAGATGCCAATGGCCCTTTAAAAGCCTAGGACTTTACACTTATTAATGTGTAGTAGGATTTGAATTCTTGACTATTTAGGGGACCTTGAATTAGAATTGATTCTATCATAACGCTTTTTTGTAAGAAACAAGTAGGAGTCGCCAATTAGTTTTGGGAAAACTCATAAACCTTGTTCATGCCTTTCTCAAAGGTGGTGTTCATGGGATAATTAGCACAAATCGTAAGTTTACCCATGCCCAAATTGGTCTACATAAAACTTAAATGAGTTCGGGAGCGAGGGTACTAAAATAACGTTCCCTTTAGAGTAGAATCGCTATTCTAGCCCTAGTGCGGCCTCTACTAGCTCTTCCTTTTTCACAATTTCATCACCAAACAATATATGCAACGTGATACCTAAAACTAAGTTAGTTAATTTTATTTACATGCATCAATAATGTAGGAATTACATTGCAAAGTCGTTATTCTTTATTTAATCCAAATTTGTGAAAGGAGCAAAAATAAACAAGATTCGCCTTGGGTTAAGTGATCAAATAATCAATTAATTATTCAATTCTAATCTTATTTAACGCAAGATATTATATGGAATTAATTAATTAAGTATCCTTTAAAAGTGCTCAAACAACACTATTTGATTGATTAAGGTTCTTTTAAACATGAAACGTAAATATGATTTATCTAAGTGCTCGGGAATTTACCACTTCTCTTTGCTAGATATCCCTTTAGAACACTTATGAACTCCTTCTTGTTCGGGGACCTCCACCGTAGTAACAAAATATCAAAGGGGTGGGTGTTTAGGAAAAGAGGGTTTGGTAGCACAAGTTCACAAGATTTTCCGCCAGAGTTTTTAGGTTAATTTCTGTGTGTTTATGCCTCGTATTAAGCCCCTATTTATAGGGAATGGGTGCAATTAGGGTTTTAAACATTCTTCCGCAGCAGGTGTCGCGCGCATCTGGTTGGGTTGCGCGCGGCATCCCAGCGCAAGTATTTAGTTGCGCTGCTATGGGTAGCGCAACTGGATGTCTTGCGCACAGCATTATGGTAAGATTCGATTTTATATTTTTATGAAATTCTGAATCTTCCATGAGCGCATTGCTAGCAGTTGCGCTGGGTGTTGAGCGCAACTGAATTAGTTGCGCGCGCCAGACCAGCGCAACTCATTGAGATGCGCCCGGCTTTTTCTGCGACAGCGTTAAATTTAACTTAGGTGCCTCTAAATCCGTCATTATTGGGTCTTAACTACGGGCTTAAGCCTAATTATGATCGAGTTTAGTTAATTGGACCTTTTTGTATTTGTTTTTAGGTTAGGCTAGTCTTTTTGTCTTTGCAATTTAGCTAGTCATCTATAAGTATTCATCACTTTGACCCAACACGAAGATGGTTTTATTTATCATCATTGCACTTTCTGTTAGGATAGGAGGCCAAAAGTAGATGTCTACAATTGGGCAGTGTCGTCTGCTTTGCGGCGACAGGAACGTGCTCCTTATTTTTTGCACGTCGCCGAAAGCAGGCGGATAACAATGACAGCCAAACTCGACAAATTTCTTTCAACCCATGTCATGGGATATGGTTATCCGTTGTCCGTGCCGGATGGTGAGGGCACAGTCACTTGGCCAAAGAAAGCCAGCTATGCTGACTAGCTCTATGGATTCTACGAGGCCTCCATTCAGGTTAGACTACGCTTCCCTCTTCATCCGGCAGTGGAGAGAATTTTGGACGGATACCAGCTGGTTGTCTAGCAACTAGCCCTCAATTCTTAAGTTAACATTTTGGGCTACATTGCCGCCTGTGAAATGCTGGAGGTGGAGCCCAGGTTCGAGGCGTTTTCTCACATGCATTACTTGAGCAAGACTCCACACGCAAGAGGGGCCGACTGGTTTACTCTGACCAGCCACAAGGGCTACATGATGACTCTGGGGAAGGAGAATAAATGGAAAGACTGGAGGTCTAAGTTTTATATTGTCTCCTCCCAAGACTTCTAAAGAAACAGGCGGTACAACTGATGGACAAAGGTGTCACCCCTCCTTGATGGGAATAAAGCCCTGTCGCCTGTCCCAAGGCGAGCGCATAAGGAGATTTTGGATCGGGGCCTATTTTAGTGGTCGTCCGAACCAACCAGATGACGAGGGTTAAGGAGGTAACCCCTCAGAGCTACATTCCCCAATTCGAGTGGCTCTCGAACAGGACATATTTGGCCGCCTGTGGCCTTAGCTCTGAGAAGCCGAGAGGTAGTAGGCCCAAAGTTGTCAGGATCGGGATCCTACTTTGGATCGATAGGGGGTAGGATCGGATCGGTAGGATCGGATTGTAGAATCGTAAGATCCTACAAATTTGAGGAAATAAGCAACCAAATTGGTTAACTGTGCCTAGTACATGTTTCTTAAGTAATAATAATTGTTAGAAAACACACTTTTGCTCATATATGATCGTTGTTACATAATTAAGATGATTTTACAAATATTTTAAAGCGGACATAGTCCAAATAGTATAAGAAAACATAGTTCAAACATCATAAAAGCTAAAAAACTGAATAATCAACAAACTAACAACAACTACTCTTCATTATAACCAAAACTCTTATCATTGGCATCATCAAAGCTCTCTGTTCCGGATGTTCCTGTTCCTGTTCCCGTTCCCGTTACATACCCATCAAGATCAACAACCAAAAGTCACGAAATTAATATGGAGTATGAAAAAAATGAAACTTCAGCAACATGTAATTGGGCATTTGAGCTGATCAACTTACCCACCAAATTTGCCTCAAAATTAATCGAATATACAAAAATTGAATAAGTAAAAAACTAAAGTACAGCAAATTACTTCACTAAATCTCATCAATCTCATGAATTTCTAATTTCTATTGGAAAAAAAATCGACAAGTAGTGAAGTAGTATTATTTACCTTGTATATAATTGATAATAGCATGCAATTTGACTACTAAAAAAATCGACAAGTAGTGAAGTAGTATTATTTACCTTCAATTTTGAGCTTTGATTCGAGCAAAGATCTACCAAGAGTTGCGTTTCAGTGAGTGTTAGGGCTTCAAACAGAGAAAGGAGAAACGTTTAATATTTTGAGGTAATTATTTTGGGCCTTAAAATAAATATTGTATGTTTTGGTCTCTATTTAAGAGTCTTTACTTAGGATCGGTAGGATCGTATTGGGATCGCGATCCCACCGATTCCACACGATCCCACACGATCCTACTACGATCCTGGCTCATTTACGACTTTAGCTTTGACGCGGATCGATTTGTAATATCCGAATCGTACGATCCTACGATCCGGATCGCGATTCCAACAACTATGAATAGGCCGCATGCATTTTCAATGCTTAGCTGCTCATAGTGATTATTATTTTTGTTTGAGTTTCTAACTCCTTTGCTTTATTTCTGCAGACATAGCAATGTCGAAGGTTCCTTCACAAGAAGCCAGTTTTTAACTCTGCGGCCTTCTATCGTCCGAACGTCTTGAGCAAGCGGACAAACGAGGAGCAGCCGCCAAGAGGCAATCCCCAAGAGAACGTCTCTTTCATTTTAACATGTTGAAATTTTACATGAGATCACACTTACATGCGAACTCTTTTTGTAGGGTGTCTCAACCAAGCCTCCTCCCTCTCCACAAAGCTGCGAAAGCAGTCGGGTGGCGAGATTGGCAAAAGCCGAAAGAATGTCGCTTACAAGCCAAAGAAGGGGACCGACGACTCCACCCCTATCCAGACACCAACGAAGCCGGATACTCATCAACGAGTATCGAAGAGTGTCAAGCCACTAACTAATGATATCGGCTCAACAGGCAGCACCGATGCCGCAGGGGTGAAGGTAATACATTCAGCCATACTCCACTTGTTTAATTAGATAACATTGATTAAAATGCAACTGTCTTTTCAAATTTCTTACTGGGCTTATTTTGCTTGTTTTGATAAAGGTTCCAGCGAGGCCGTCTGTCCTAAAAATGGCCAAGTAGATGCTCAGGAAGCTTGATCCTAATGACAAGGCGTCTGTTAAGGGAGTCGGGTTCCTCAATCTAGACGCCATAATGGCGCTTCTTTGTTAGGTAAGACTTGTATCTTTTAACTTAAGTAATGATTTAGCCGAATGTTTTCTAATTTCTTCTTTTTGTTTCAGTCAAATGCAGGTTATGTTGCGTGTGAGTGGTCTTAAAAAACCATTCAACGACAAGACCAAAGAGGTAAAGGCAGCAAATTCTCGGGCCGCCTCTTCCTTAAAGGCTCAGTTTGAGATTTCCCAAAATGAGATTCTGACGCTTGATATGTTGTATTCCCAAGCATCGCCCAATCTGCAAGTCCAGCAGAATTTGAATGCGGTGAAGAGGGGGATCAATGAGCTCTGAAATGAGGTTAAGGGCCTCAAGGAGAAGCTAGAGCCCCTCAAGGAAGCGCAAGACAAAGCTGAGAGCCTGGAGGGTCGGGTCAATAAACTCAAGGGTCGGCTACATAACCAGGAAACTTAGCTGGAGGCCAATTATAGGTCCTTTGCTGAGGAGGAGAAAATGGTCTTGGTTAAAAAAATGATGGAAGATAATGTAGCCATCATGCGTGCAGCCTGGACAGCATTGTAGCTGTCCGCCAATTATCAGATTTGGAAAGTCGAGTTTGATGCAGCGAATGATGAGTTTGATGCTCGACTCTTGCAGAAAGCAGAGGAGGAGGCGACCTATACTGCCAATGAGGGGTCCGACTCCTCAGATGATTCGTCCTCCAGGGACGAGGGGGATCGGGAGGAGGAGGAGAAAAAAGAAGAGCAGTCGCCCGAGGACAAGGCGGCTACCAATGCTGAGAACCTCCCCTGATCTTTTAAGCTTTTAGGTATCAAATTATGTGGCCAAATGGCCAAGTATTTGCTTTTTCGGCCTGTGTGCCGAGTATTTTGTGTATCATTTATCGACCAAGGGGTCGGGTAATTTGACAATTCCATGCATACCCAGTTAACATTTATAGTCGTCAGTTTTGACGGCTGTTCCTTTTATGAAGCATCCGGTCATTTGACCGGTTATATTTATATTGGTGCTTATGCTTTAAAATTTTTAAAGCTTTCAATTATTTATGCATAGAATTTTAGGCTGAGTATTTTTAACCTGTATACTATGTGAATGTCCTTGCCCCTAGCCGGATGTCAGTTTGTTTCGGAAAAACGGATTGATAGACTTATAAATTATTGATACTTTTAAGGATTGTGCATGGTTTCTAAGTCAATCAATCACTATGGTGATTTCACCAAATCAAGCGACAAACGACCATGTAGAACAGACGGTTTCAATAACTTGAATGCATCCAGCCAAAGGCCTCATGAGATATACTTAAGCCACTAAGTTTTTGTTATTTTTCTAGCACAGGCGGTTGAATAGCTTTTAAAATGAAACAGTAGCCACTTTCCGCCTGTGCTATAACAATCCAAAAAAACTCAATGCTTTTTAAATTTCAATATTGATTATCAAATGACTGCAAGCGTTGCCTTAACGCATTCGGTAAGGCCGCTTGTTTTTGTTCATAGAGCAATGTGCCACCCAAATAGGAGGTGCTTCTCTTCGACGAATTTGCCCAAATAGATGTCGTTGGATGCCTGACTTATGTTGGAGCAGACATTCATACTCATGTCAGAGCAGACGGTTGTTTAAATACAGTATATCCGGCCATTGGCCTCTTTTGAAAAAGTAGATAGCCGCTAAGTCTTTATGACTTAACTTGTAAAAGTTGAATAACGCTAGGGATGACTACTTTGGTACAGGTGGAGCTTTAATGAAATTTGAGCTTGGTTCGTCTGCACATTGTGCAGGCGACACTCTAATAAATATTTGATTGTTTGAGTTTGGTTCGTCTGCTCATTGTGCAAGCGGCGCTCTAACAAAATATGTAAAAGACAAGTCTTGAAAGAAAGGAAAATTTTCACTTAACAAGTCAAAAATTTAAAAAACTTTAGAAGTAGTACTTTTTTAAGTTATCTACATTCAAAGTTCTGGGTAGCTGTCTGCCGTCTGGTGTTTCCAGGCAGTAGGTGCCGCCTCTTACTTCTTCATAGATTCGGTAGGGACCTTCCCAATTTGGGGTTAGCTTCCCTTGCTCATTTGCCCTATCGACTGCGTCCATTTTCCGTAGCATAAAGTCCCAAAATTTCAAAGGGCTTTGTGTACTGTTTTGTTGTAGGCCTGAGTCATTCTCAAGCGGTAGATCTCATAGCGCAAGGCGGCATTGCCCTTGCGATCTGGGAGTGAGTCCAATGATAGCCGCATGGCCTCCTAGTTTGCCTCTTCATCATATAACATGATTCAAAGAGTCGGCTCATAGTGTCCAATGGTCAAAACAGCCTCTTCCCCATACACCATGAGAAATGGGGTTTCTTTAGTTGACCCTTTTACAGTCGTTTTGATGGCCCATAGGACGTGTGGTAATTCATCCGCCCATAAGCAGCCAGCTCTTTCAATTTTCTTCTTTATGCCGTCTGAGATTAACTTGTTGAAGGCTTCGACCAAGCCGTTTACTTGGGGCGACCGACTAATGAGAAATAATTTGAGATATTTTGATCTCCCAACCAAGTCTTAAGGGAGGTGTCTCAAACTGAGGACCATTGTCAAAAACCATGGACATAGGCACCCCAAAACGGGTGATGATATTCTTCTAGATGAAGGAGATGAAGTCCTTTGCCTTGATGTTTTTGACCACCTAAGCCTCTACCCATTTGGTAAAGTAGTCCACAACCACTAGGATATAGTGCTTGCCGCCTGGAGCAACCGTATATGGTCCCAAAATGGACATGCCCCATTTAGCAAACGGTATTGGATTGCGGATTATCGTTAGGTCAGTGGCCGGACAATAGATTAGCTTGCCAAATTTTTTATACTTGTTGCATTTTTTAACCATCTCCATAGCATCCGACTCAAGGGTTGGCCAGAAGTAGTGCCGCCTGGCCCTGACATCCAAGGATCTTCCGCCTATATGAGAAGCACAGTATCCTGCATGCAATTCTTCGAGAACTTCTTTCCCCTTTTCTGAGGTAACACACTTCAATAGAGGCTTCAAGAAACCTGCTTTGAAGAGCTCTCCTTGTCTTATCTTGAATTTTGCAGCTCGCTTTTTCAGCACTGCCGCCTCCTGTGGTGAATCAGGGAGCGTGCCGTCTGTACGATATGCCCGGATGCTATCCATCCAGGTAGAGCTTCGGTCAAGTACTCCAATGGGCTCTTCATCAGATATACTCCTTTTCTTCATTACTTCCCAGAAGACCGACCGAGGCATATCACTAGAGGCGGAGAACGCCAGTTTTGACAGAGCATCCGCCTGATTGTTTTCATATCTGGGCACATGACTTAGATGAAAGTCTTCAAGTGTCCCAGCTTGAGCTTTGACCTACTGCAAGTATTTGATCATGACCGAATGGGTGGCCTCATAGTCACTATGGTATTGGCTTATGACCAATTGGGAGTTAGAGCAGGCATCGATCTTAGTTGCCCCTGCCGCCTTGCACATACGGATGCCGGCTAGCAGGGCTTCATACTCGGCCTCATCATTATTTGAGGATTGGAACTTGAACCGTAGTGCATAATCATATTTGTCCCTTAGGGGACCGACAGATTACGCCTGCACCACAGCCGTTCATAGTAGAACTCCCGTCCACATACACTTTCCAAACTTGATCAATACTATCCGGCTCAGCCGGCCTCGTCATTTTGAAAATAAAGTCAGCGAATGCTTGCCCCTTTATTGCCTTCCTTGGTTCAAAATTGATCTCCAGTCCCTACAACTCAATAGCCCATTTGAGCATTCGGCCAGAAGATTTCAGAGTTGTCATAGGCCGCTTGATCGGTTGGTCAGTGTAGATCACAACCGGATGTGCCAAGAAGTAAGGCTTTAACTTCTTAACAACCATGTAAATAGCGAGGCCAAATTTTTTTACTATGGAGTACCGAAGCTCTGTATTCCTAAGAACGTGGCTAATGAAGTAGACCAAGAGCTGGATGTCGTCTCTTTCAGCTAAGAGAACGACGCTGAGAGCATGATCTGAGACAGACAAATACATATAGAGCATCCCTTTGGGCAGAGGGCTA